ATTGGAGAAAAATTGCTGATAGAAAAGTTGTGCACAGCAAAAAATAAGGCCGTAATATATTTCAACTAATACCTACAGGCTACATTTCTTATATTTTCTTATTTTTCGGTTTTTCAAATTTTATGAGAAAATCGAATAATGACCTCCTTGAAGTACCTCCCCATACCGATTTCCTTTCAGAAAAAGTGTTATTCTTAAAAATCTGAGGTAGTTTTTTAGTAGAAAAGTTGCGCAGATAAAAAATAGAGAATATTAAACGTCTTTGGAAAACCATAAGTTACTTCGCTCCGCTCTGAATCTAAAAAAAAAAATTCGAAGTTATTATTATTTTCGATAATATTATTCTGAGTTGTCGTTTATGTACGTTTATTGTGTTTTTAGTCTTCGATTTATATTTTAATTTGTATTGTATTTATTCCCGTTCCAAAAAAATCTACATAATTGTGATAACGATCGAGTGTCTCGAGTCTCGAGTCTTACGTGAAAATAAGTCGCCGTGTATTTTTTTTATAATTCCTCGTCTCTAGTCACCGTAATTACGGCAAAGACGACCCGCACACTCTATCGTCGTTTTCCCCGTTAAACATCGAAAATCGCTTTCGTTATTTGTCTAATGGACCCGTCACCGCGCATCCCTCTTCTCGTCTCCTCTCGTGTGTCCGTCTGTCCGCAACGGCCGGTTTTCGTAAAAGGGTCGTCGATGGCGTGTGCGGCACCGGATGGCGGTGCAGTTTTTTTTTCTCTGTTTCTCTCTCTCAGAACCTGTCGATTTCGGATTTCCTATTAAATGTCGCAATATTTCCGCTTCGCGGCGCGTGCCGCAGCCTCCGAGCGTTTTTCGTATAGAAAAACAACCTTGGGAAATCTTTCGGTCTTCGACCCTCTACCGCGTGAGAGTATGTATACATACATATACATATATATATATATATATATTATGTACCTTCTTCACGCGGGTATTTTTTAATGATTTCGCCCCGGGTCCCTGAAAATCTCGTACTCGTATACATGTCGTCGTGTGCGTTGCTTAAAAGACCGAGAAAAACTGCCACAGAAATCGCGATGAAACCCGCGGAAATCATTATATATAATGTATAGGATTGGCGGCGTCGGCCATGCGCGAAAAGGGCGTTTATTATTATTTGCCGATGAGTCGGGAAACCGCCGGGGGGTCGTTTTCCGGCATTATTGTGATAAGTACGCTTTTTTCCGTTCACCCCACATTAGTACTTAGCAGAAGGAGTTCGTCTCGATTTCAGTATATTTCGTATAGGCAAATTTAATGACGGTTTTCGGGAAAAGCACGGAAATCGATCGACTTGAAAATATCAAAAAACTCTGTGCAATATCTATATAATTATTTATAAAACTACATACTCTGAGGTTTCATTCGAAATTATATCATCTCCTATATTTTCGATCTCTATAATCGCCGAAAAAAGGTAATTTCTCCATTTTTTTTTTTTTTTTTTTTTTGTTCCTAACCTCGTTTTGCATATTGTCACGATGTCTTGATTGTCTTTTAATGTCATGATGCTATTTTTCTTATATTACTCACGTAGTAACAATAATTAAAATTATTATAATTATTATTATTATCCGATGCCGTTACTTCGTATAGAACTAGATTCACCATAAAAAACTGAACAAATATCATACAAGATATTTATCTAGCATTCTAGCGGTACATTTATATATTTGTGATAATCTAACAGGATATTCCATAATATCATGCTATTACAACCTTTTTCAGAGTTTGCAGGTAATACTACAGTTCTATAACTGATTTTCACTAAAAAAAAAAAATATCTGTGCGTAGAACTTTTAAATAGGACAACGACTACAAACCCAACCACGTAATTAAAAAATTGAAAATTCTCCCGGATATGGATTAAATATTACTAGATACATTTTTGATAACAATAATAATTATTACGTATTAATGTGCATACGATTTCGCATTACTCATACAAATACTTTACCACCAAAAAGAACACTATATGAAATATTATTATTTGATGTACATTTTTTTAAGTTAAATTTTTACTTCAAATCTGCTATCATGTCTTGACCGATTCGTTTGTTAATATCACGAACGTTTTCCTTTATTGTTTTCCAGGTGAAAAACGAAGGACGAGCTCTGTTCTTGAACGCGGTCTGCATGAAATGCCTAAGTGGTAAAGACGTGGACCGAAAATTGTGTTGCCGATTTTGCGCCACCCAGTGGGATGGATCTTCCCTCATCATGGGGACTATGTATGCATATGACGTGTTTGCCGCTATGCCATGTTGCAACGAACGTCTCAAGGTGTGTATACTAGCGAAAAAACGTTTTTCTTTTGCTTGTCAATTTTGAATTCTGACACAAATTTACTCGCCACACTGTCTCAAAGTTCCCTGTATAGAATACCCCTATAAAGATTTTTCATCACAAAATTACGCCCCACTATTCTCCTCCTAACTAAATTTAAAAGTGTAATATCTCGTCGACGAGTTGACAGAAATTTAAAATTTCAATACCAAAATGTATTGAAACTAAAATTTCTTCTATTTATAGGATTTTTAGTATTGATTTACCTATAAAAAAAAAGTAAAATTTAGAAGGACAAAAATGTTTAGAAATGTAATCGCTTAGAGCCGCCACTTGATTCGCGGTGTACAAAAAAAAAAAAAATCCCGAAAAAGTAATTACTTTCTGAGATAATGGGATTGATCACGTTGTATAACGGTATTTGGAAACGGATTCTGAAGATCTTTTATAAAATATATCTTAATAATGTAATACTTCGATAGAGTTTTTAATTTTGTCAGGTATTTCTAGTCTTAAGAATTTTTAGCGAGTCGTGATCACAGCGTGCTAACGACGGTTTTAGTAAAGTTTTCGCGAATTTATTAATTTTTTTTAATCCTTCTCCTGCCGCCGAATCCTCCGAACCACCGCGAATGTTTGACGGCGTTTCGATTGCGGCGTGAAGGGGAGGAAATGGAGGGTCGCCTAAAGCCGGTCTAATTAACCGGAGACCGAAATATCTTTCTATTAGCTCTTTCATCGAAAACGACAACCCCCGCGGTGGTTGAGTATATATTTTATATTCGTGCGAGGGAAAGGATTACTCTGGCGCGCGTGTGCATTATAAAAGTAATTTCGTCGTATTAAAACTTCCGTCATAATTCCTCGACGTCATTCAGCTAATTAATTTGCGTCACCTGTGCGAGAACGGATTCGCTATGTATAACACAAAATTCGCAGGCCCTTTGAAGTCGAAAAAAAATAAGCGCGCACAAACTTTATCGCTCCCCCCCCGCGGGGCACGTTGTCGTTTCGGTTTTTGTCAAAAGTTTCAAATAAGTATGCGGGCCTTTTACTCCTCCCTCCTCCCTCCGATAAATATCATATCAATACCGTAACGACCGGGCAATTGAAGTACAAACACTAACTACTCCAATGCATTTCCTGCGCGTCCCGTGATTGATCATTTAACTATTGGCGGAGATTATTTATAAGAAGAGTGGCCAACTCGGTAATGCGGTCTGATTGACGTTTGGTCACAAACTGGTCCATCAGTGTTCCCCACAAACAATATAACTGAATTGTCTTATTGTTTTACGATACTAATGCCTGAACGTATTTAATTTGTACATTAAACAGTAAGAGATAAAATAGACTATACATTATACAATATCACTATGTTAGATTTTTAGATACTGCGATATCTGTTTTTTTTCTCTTTTGAAATCTTGCCCCGAGTATCAACTACCAAGTTTAGCACCTTTTTTTTTGAAAGGAAATTTTATCTAATCGGTGAACTAATGCGGTCATATTTTGATTTTCCGAAGAGTTTTCATAGTAATTAGGAAAAACCGAAAGTACAGCAAATAGATTCTATATGTGAATATCATTGTTTGACCTAACATACATGATTAAAAATTGAATAGCAAATTTATTTAAGTTGTTTCTTAGTGGTAAAAAAAAAAAAATTGAGCGTAATATAGTATTTGTTTTTGTTATAAAAGTTTTAATGTCAAATTTTGACGAAAATCGTAAAATTATGGCCTTTCAAAACATATAAAACCGAATTTCGACTCCGAATCGTTTTGCGTTGGTTTAATCGTTGCCTATAGCAATAAATTAAATATATTTATGTGTTCTACCTTCCCAGCATACCATCTACAACAGTGGCACATCCGTCCTCAGTATCAACTCCGTTTTTTTTTTTTTTAAATTATTAGAACAAATTTTGATATTATAGTATAGTATCTTGTGAACTATGGCTCCCGAATCTGACGATTGTATTATACTACTGACAGAGCTTCACAAACTAAATCATACTAAGTGCCTGCTAAAAAAAAAATTATAAAACTTACACGGCCTCGACTCAAAAATCTGGAATTTTTTATTTTTGATTACCGAGTTATGACACTATCAGTATTTGTCGACGAGCTACGAAAACCCGATAAGAACCGGTGGTCACTCTCATTTGTACATAGGCTCTCTAACTATGCTCGCTTGGACTTGAAATCAATCAGACGACGCGGCTTTCGCAAAGGTATACGAGAAGAATAAAACATAACGTATTACGTATCCTGTTTTGTTCACGAAAAACATCGATTCCATCAGCGATGGAACAAACGTTTATCACGGGGAAAGCACGACGAACGTCATTGTTTTTTTTTTTTTCTTCCCCCGGATATCGCTTTGCACGTTTTGTCTGTCCCGCCTCTACTCCCCGGGCAGACAGAGGGTGTATAAGGCGCAGTCCGCGAGTGCTTAACGGACGAACTGATCTGATGACCGTGTTTTTCTTTGTTCCATGCGTCTACAGTGCAACAGCTGCCAGAAAGCATTGATGATGCCACACCAGCGGCTCAACTTCTACAGCGATTACAGCCGGAAAGTGACTTGTCCGCATTGCGCGTCCGTTGACTATCACTTCGTCAAGCCGCTCGTCCCGTACTACACCAGGCAGTGGCCATAACATACGGCCACGGTCCCGGCCGCCATGGCTGGGGCCGGTGGCCGCCAACAGGCCGCCGCCGCCGTCGCACCCGACGTCTCCGCCGCATCCGCGTTATTGTCCCAACAGCAGCACGCGCCCCCCGATTACACGTCGGTGGCCATCGAGAAGCTACTCCATTCCATATGGGACACCAAAGTCAACGACATCATGGCCGCCATAAACCATTTGGGTTTGGTCTAAGTACACAATGCGCGTGTCTGTCAAATTTTGTATAGTGTCGCGTACTGGAAAGCGCATTCGATTATGACGGCGCGTCCGGCGACAGCGGCAAAAGTATATAAATATTTTCTTCTATTTGCATCTGCAGTTTAATTGATACTATAATATTACGTTTGTGGTTTGTTTAAAATCCCCCTACCCCCCCCCCCCAAAAAAATAAAAAAATTACAAAAATACAAAAAAAAAAAAATTATTTAATAATAATCATTAATTTGTAAGATTTGAAAATATAGTACGTGCCGTACTTACCTGTAGGTAGGTATTTATTTATTATTTATACAGCGATTTTCGAAAAAAAAGACATAACTATATAGTGTAGGTACTTTCTCGATGTGTTATAATATAATTATTACTTTTATTTCCTCATAAATATAAATACGTTAAAACATTTTGTACAGCGATCCCCGTTTGATGAAAAAAAAACCAAAAAAAAAAAAAACATTATTAATTTGTAAGTATCGACTATGTATAGTTCGTAGCGCGCGTGACGATTAAAATCGGGAACCCTTCTCGGCTGCATGTCCGAATTGTAAAATATTATTCCTACTGTTGTATTATTAGCCGACCACGAGATCGCGCTTTATCGCATTTAGAGTGTATCCACCATAAAACACGTTCCCAATTACGTCGTCATCGCGTGCTCGGCCCAAACACGACTTCTTTCATTTTTCTGTATCCCATCCATCCCTCGCCCCCCCCCGCCCACCCCCATTCTTCTATTACTTTCCGCGTGTAAAAAAACGGCGAGGTGATATAAGTTACACGTTGAAAAAAAAAGGTCGCGCGGACGGTATACGGGAATTTTTTTTTTTTTTTTTTTTTGGTTTTACGCGGCGTGTGTGTGATATTATTAATTATTATTCTGGTTATGAGGTCGACTACTGGTAGTCCGGTAGTCGACTTTCAGCGAGTTTTATAATATTTTATCAATATGTATATTGTATATGTCATATTATTATTATTATTCTTAGAACAACTGCAGTACAACATAATAATATAACATTATTATTAAATACGTAGAGTACAATATTTAAAGTAATTATTATTATTAATCAATTAATATTTGAGCGGTAAAAATACTATAATAAGTGTGAAATACAAGAAGAAAAAAAAAAAAAAAAAAAAATGTTTTACAAATATATTGTTTAGGTATCACGTGCATCATTTCGTCGTCGTGTGCACGAACGGACGAACAATTTTCACGGTGTCGTGCCGGTATTTGTCGCGTGCGATGGCCGGACCGTGGTGGATAATTATAAAAATAAAAAAAAAAAAAAAAAAAAAAAAAAACAAAACAACTATGAATTGGTATCGCAGTGGCCGGTCCGCGTGAGTGTTTTTGGAAACTCGGTAGCCAAGAGGGCGAAAAGTAAATCGTACCGTAAAACACGTCTGTCTGTGCCGTGAATGTGATATTACGACGCGATAACAGTGCATACGGAGGGGCACGGGGGGAACGCCGGACGGGTTCGGGGCACGGTTATTGTGCGATCGCAATACTGCGGGCAATTCGAAATCTTGACCGACCGCGGGATGGGATACATTCGCCAACACGATCGAGACCATTTAGCGGTTTTCTTTTAACTCCGGAGAAACAACAATAACTTTAAAACCGTGTTTCCGGATATATTTTCATAATATTGCGATTTATTTGGGCTCCTATATACACGCGCACACACACACACACACACACACACACAAACGCTCGTTAATAACATAAATCGTTTCTTAATATCGTGGCTATAGTAGACTACAATCAGTCGACGGACAGAATTTCCACCGCGAAAACAGCTATACGGCGGACTGTAAAATCGAGCCCACCCCCTTCCCCTCCCCTCCCCCCACCAAACATCCCACTCCCACTAGTGCGTACGAACGAAAGCCATCCGTAGTTGTTGTTTTTTCAATTGTCTACCCGGGTCGGGCACGCGCGTGTACATTACGATATTTTATATAAAACATAATATAATCGTGTATTATTATATTATTAATTCTTGCTCTATAATGCTCAATTACGCGGCTACCTCTTGTTTTTTTTTTTTTTTTGTTTTTTTTTGTTGTTTACCAAACGTTTACCTGTTATGTCGATTAAACTTCACGGAGCAACAGAAAAAAAATATAAAACAAAAAAAAAAACAAAAAAATAAATTAGTTTTTAATCATACGTGATGTGTTTGTTGACGATAGGTACCTATTGTAAAACAAAAATTTTTCCAAAAAAAAAAACTAAATACAAAATAATAGTATACGGGTTTTTTTTTTTTTTTTTTAATTTGATTTTTTTTGTTTTGTTGATTTGTTTTGTTTTGTTTTTTTTTTTTTTTTTTTGATGATGATGATGATCCGACTCGGGGGCGGAAAAATAAATAAATACAAATACAAATCGTTATTTAAAAATATGATTATATACCTCAGCTACCTCGAGTTCCATATTGGTTTTTTTTTTATTCATTTATTAACAAATAATAACGAAAACGGAAACTCTTTAGTTAATTATTTATTTTATTATTATTATTTTATTTTTTTTTATTTTTTTTAACTCATTTTAGTCCAAGTTGATTTTTTTTTTTTGTGATTTACTTTCCTTTATTTATTTATATTACACATTATATTGTTAATATTATTATTATTATTATTATTATTGCGAAATCGTGATTTTTATTGCTTTATGTTTTTGTTATTATGCACTACATAGTACAACAATAAACAAATTTTATGTTTTTAATTAATTAATGATTATTTATATTATAGTCTAAATAACGAGTAGGTTAAAAAAAAAATTATGGAAAAAAAAACGGAACGGATCGTACAAATGGGAATACTTCATTTTTTTTTTCTTTATATTATTAGCAATATTATAATAATCATAATTATTATTTACCAGTAATGATAATAATAAGAAAAAAATAATTATAATACGGATGGATTTTTTTCCTTTTTTTTTTTTTTTTTAAATTATGACTTTTAACCTAACTGTACATGATCATTTAAAATTCGTAAACAAATTAAATCGTAATAACTAACAATATAATATGTACATATTATTATATTATTGTTTCTAGGAGTCTTTACATTTTTTTTTTTTTTTTTGGTATTGTGATGTGATTTTTTTTTTTGACTTTGTTTTTTGTTTTTCTACTCCGACACGATAATATACTATATTATTATCATAATAATAATAATATTATTATTGTATCTGTACCTGTTCAGAAAAAAACAAAACAAATTATTTATATATATTATAATATATTATTCGTTTGATACTCGTTACAGCGCATTTGTTAGTGTACGTGTAGGGATGTAGATTACAAGAAAAAAAAAAAGTACATATATTTATAATAAAAAAAAAAAATTACTTTAATCGCTATAATATTAGGTTCTTTTTGTTTTTTTTTTTTTTTTGTACCTGTGTAAAGTTTTTGTGTATTATCACCTCTGGTGTAGTATATAATATTATTATGTGTACGATTAAGGATTTTTTGCCGTTCGTTTTCCTATCGGGATCGAACCATTATATTTAAGGTTATTTTTTTCTTTTCGTCTAAAATAAGTGACGTGCGCAAGTAAGTGTACAATAGTAGTGCGGATCTTCACGGAGTCGGATTGCGCATTAGGTGCAGAATTCATTATAATCGTTAAGTATATGAGATAAGGGATGGAAAAAAAAAATTATAAAATCGTTGATAGGACGATAATAGTATATAGTGTGGGTAGGTATTATTAGTCTTCTATTAAATAAATAGTTTTTTTTTTTTTTTTTAATAAAAAAAAACGATACCAACGATAATGACAATGCAGTTTATTTCATTTGTATACCACCACCAATCAGATAACTGTACAATTTTAACAACCCTCCTCTCCCCCCCTCTCCCATCGGGCGAGAGGAATACACTCGACATTTTGTATTATTATTATTATTATTGTTTTTTTTTTTTTTTTTTTTCTTAGTTTTGTATCTAGTCAAGAGTCGAAAATTAACAACTGTCTAACGTAGTATAAATTTAATAATAAAACGTAACATGTAATGGAAAACAAAATTCAAACTACTCTGGATCCCTATTTCGTAGTGACACAAGTTATGTTTCATACACATTTTGTTTTTATTTATTTAGCACTTTTTTTTTTTTTTTAGTTAGCGTTTTTTTCATTATTTAGTTAATTTTGGTTTTTCTCGTTCGTGTATAGTCATATATTATGTGTATTCTGTGTACCTATATAATATATTTTAGCAATAATTTAATATTCGATAACGGCATCACGTTTTTTTTTTTTTTTTTTTTTTTCTACATTAATTTTATAATTTTTAAATCGTTTTAAGTTTGTCGGGGCAGAAGAAAGCCTAGAGAAATACGCGTCTTATTGGTATGAATTCTTTTTGGTTTATTTTTTTTCCGCGCCGAGTCGCGTTTTTTCTTATAGTGCGAGATGTATTTTCTTCTCGGGTCGAAACGTCACGTGTGCGTACGGAGAGGGGATGGGGGGAAATTGAAAAAAAAAAAAAGAACGAAATAGAATATCGCGGTATAATGCATAATTATAAAAGCGAGAGGAGGAAATCACGTCGTTTATGCGGCGGGTCGTATCGCTTCGGACGAAAAAAATTGTGTTCAAAATGATTACCGGCTGTACGTTCGGATAATACAATAATAATTGACGTTACACATAATTGTTATAAAATTACCGATGCGGGGGGAAAAAAAAATTAATAATTTTCTACGTTATTTCGGTGGACATAATAAGAAAAATTAAAATCTCCTCGGATTTCGCAATCTAACCCGTTACAATATCCAATTAATTGTTGGGCGTCGAATATAATTTAGTGCGTTTTGAAACGGAAAACGAAAAAATGAAAAAGACGTTTTTGTATATATTATGTATTAAACAATTATGCGGCTCGCGAGAATATCGCACATTATTATGTAAAATACGCGGTCGTTTTTAAAAAAAAAAAAATTAATGATACATTTTTTTTCCAACGATCTCTCGAGAGTAAAATCTGTCGTTTACGTATACGTAAAATCGCATTTTACTTTAAACCCCGGTCGAATGATATAACAATACAGGTACGATGGCTATTTTGTGGATACGTGCGCGTGAATTCGTTCACCGGTCGCGTATTATAGTTTTGAAAATCATTTTCATCGCTTGCAGTCACAACCGAAATACGTCCACCGGTTGCCATCGTACTTAGCCCAGATTTTAATCACCATCTCGGCTATTTCTCTCTCTCTCTCTCTCTCTCTCTCTCTATCTATCTATCTATCTCGTGCTCAACCTTATCCTCGTAGTATTACTATAAGTATCCCCCCCCCAAAAAAAAAAACAAAATTTACCGAAAAAATCTACCCGTATCCAGTTCGATTTAATTTCCTCCTCCCAACCCCGAACTCATCGCCCGAACTCGCGTTTATTTTCCCATTGTCGGTAAGGTTTTCATTTTTTCCTCTTCTCTTTGTTTAACGCAATAACTATTATTATTATTATTACGTACCGCGACGGTTATTCGATTTCGTTTCGCGTCGAATTCATAAAATACTATTATAGATGCATCGCGTGTGTGTATTTGTGTGTGTGTGTGTGTGTGTGTATGTGTGTTATCGTCGTTGAAAAATTTAAGTAGTAAAATACGAGTTTATAATTCTTAATAGACACGTACGAGCGTAGTATAATATAATATGTATTCGGCATAGACGACATTAGGGTGGTTTAAAAAAAAAAAAAAAAAAAAATAGTTTATAGCGAGTGAATCGTAAACAATAATAATTTTATACTTGTTTGCTAAACTTAATAATATGATAAACGTAATAATTTAATGGTTACACAAAAAATATTTCATAAGAGTGAAGTAAGAGAATATAAATATTCGACTAACAACGATTTTTGGAAATTTTAAATTTATATAAATTAGGTGCATGTAATGGAATTATTGTAAAAGCGTCTGTATTTAAAGTACAAAAAAAAAAAAAAAAAAAAAATTGAAATGAAATACAAATTTTAATATCACCTGTCCATTATAGGTTTATTATTATTATGACGTGTTTTAGTTTGGCTATTATTATAATTATATTATATACGAAAAAAAAAAAATGTTTATTAAAAAGTGTGTTGGTAATGTTGATCGGATAAGTTAGTTTTTTTTTTTTTTTATTTTAATATTGTAGTTATTATAAAATATTAAGGCATAATTACAATGTGTTCCATACCCCCAATGTGTCAAGAACTCATATTTCTCTTCCCCTTTTGCATAGATACATATTGTTATATTTATAAAAACGATAGTTCAAAAAAAAAAAAAAAAAAGTTTATTATGTCCAAGACAGGAAACATCCTTCCTAAATATTTATTGTTTGTTTTTTTTTTACTATTAATAGTGTTTTAGATAATTTGTTACGCATTCGTTTTTTTTTTTTTTTTTTACATTATATTACCATTTTAATTACCTAATAACTTTATTAATATTGTAGATTTTCTCAAAAATGTAGATTTTTTTTTTTGTTTGTTTTGTTTTTGCTTTCATATCAGTATGATGATGATATAATATATATATATATATATATATATGTATATTATATATTATAAGAAAAAAACTTAAAATAAAAATAATGAAACCAATCGTTGTTTTTTGCGTGCTAATACACGGAAAGACGATATGAATTTAAAAAAAAAAAAAAAAAACAAAAGAAAAAAAAAAAAAATAATACTAAAAAACGTCTCCGGGTGTAGTACCGCGTGAACGCTTATATAGAAAGAAAAAAAATGTTCCTAAATTGTTTATTATACTTTCCTGATAATGACACGATAACGATAATATTATTAGGTATACTATATTATGTTTTTCGGTCCCTAATAATTTATAATTACATATTATTCGGTTTATAAATCATATATTTACGCATTATTATATTTGTATCGTTTAAGGCAGTTTATGTAATTTTTTTTTTTTTTTTCTGTTATATTATTACACATTTGTGTTTAACAATTTATAATATTATACGTATTATGTAATCATTGTTTAGACGTATCATAATAATAAAATAACAATAACGTGTCTACTAATTCTTGCAGAAGTGTTTTTTTTTTTTTGTTTTTTACGTTTATTATTATTATTATTATTGTTCATTTGTTTCTTCCTCGTGATATCCCCCTCTCAATTATATTATTATATTGTCCTCCAGCGCTACATCAAAAATACATAATATGATAATAATAGTATGTTTGATGTTTCATAGTTGTTGTATAATTGTTTATTATTATTATTATTATTTTTTTTTTTTTTTTTTTTTTTTTAGTTAGTTTGTGTGGATAATATTATACATATACGATTATTTTTATGCGGGGACTGGAGAACGCACTATAAGTTATTATATTATATAGAGTAATATATTTATAATAATTACTATAATCATAAAATTAATAATAATATAATATCACAACAATATTTTATAATAATATTATGCTATTATATATATATATATTAAAAAAAAAAAAAAAAAAACCATTACAGTGTTAGAATAAAACAGTTTATTAATTAACAAATATCCGTGTTTCGATTATTATTTCAATTGCGTATTACCCGTGTTTTGTATTACCGTCATCCTTTGCAGTTGACGGTTTCTCGTCTGGCAGCCGAGAGGGAACGATGGACTCTGGACAAACGAAACACGTTGACAATTATTTTTGTTTAATATGCTCGTTGTACACGATATATTAGTGAATCACTATTGTACGTGGAAATTTGGAAAGGTAAGATATTCAACACGGGTGTTGAAAAAAAATCGATTCGGAGCGGAGCTAGTAGTGCGTTTACATGACGTAAACGATTGTTTAAAAGAAAAAATTAAAATAATACAAAATTAATAATAACAAAAAATAAAAAAAACGGTTGTCAGTGAAAATCCTATTTTTGATCTCTTAATCGTTTTAACCTAAAGAACCAGATTTCTCTAATTATCTCGAATAATGATGAGGATTTCAAAAAATGACCATCTTGAAGTACCATTACAAGAAACATTTATAATATTATGATCTATGATCTATTTTTGACCACAGGTATGATTACAAATAGAAATTATTAATATTCAACTATGATATAAGATAAGTCGGTAATGTAAAATAAACCTCAAAAAGAAATATGTCACAACTCTGGAACTTCGAAGTTACAAATTTTAAAAAGTCGGTTGCAAATGGTTACAAATTAAAAGGAAAATAATACATTCAATTTCTATCGATTTGGTTAATGTGGAGAGGCTGACGTGAAGTTAGCCCCTCATTGAGAAACCCGTTTAACTTGTGAACGATGAAATTACAAATTCTAAGAAGATGGTTACAATTAGATAAAAATTTAAAAAATTCGGTTACAAATATTTTAGATGTTTTCTATTGAAGTGGAGGGGCTAACTTCACACACGTCCAAAGAATTACAAATAATAGATGATTTGACATCGTTATAAGGGACCATTATTATAGATTTTCGATCATAATTCAAGTTAAAAACTTTGAAAGGTCGGTCACAACTCAAATAATTAAGTTATTTATATGAACCGTCCAGTATATCTTAAAACTACTTGACGTAATTTATTGTTTTGTTTTTATATTTATTTATAATGGTTTTTGTACTGTTTTGCTATTTGACAATAAAAATTAAAATAAACCTCAAAAAAAAAATAAATTGGGATTATCTCTTCACTATTCAAATTAAAAGTATAGTGAGAACACCTCTGTAATTTTTAAACCGTAACTATCATTTTTTTTTTTTTTTAGCTAATAACCAATAAAAATAATATAATAGGTACTTTGTATTCATCAAATATCTATTGAATTATTTACTTTCAAATAGTTTTAGTCAGTTGGGGGGTTAGCCCCTCTTCAAGAAACCAGCTGTAACTCTGGTACAGCGAAGATACAAATTTTAAAAAGTCTGTTACAAATAGTTACTAATTTAACTCAGACAGATACTGTATTGTAACCTCAAATGATACCAGGTTTAACCACTACTTTCCACCGGTTACCGCGACACCATCATATATTTCGAAAATGTTATTTATTAAGGTTTACATGCAAAAACTTTGAGAGTTAGTATGATAGTTAAATGTTAATTTTACCAGTCGGTAACCATTATGAGCCATTTAAAAAAAAAAACGATAGATTTCTAAAAACTATAATTGTCCCAACTGTAATACATAATATTACTTATGCATTATACAAAACTAAATTTGTGATAGTGATAATTTTGTGACACGATAATTCTTGCCGGTCGATATCTTACCATCCAATACGTATCGTGAATTATCGATACCTTAATAATAATATTCGGTATCAAACGGTTACAGAATCATTTTTTGATAACTATTCGATAGTGGTCGTGTCATGATTAGCTAAACGAACCGAATGTTTTCGAAAAAAATTCTTTTCGAGTTACTAAATACACCGGCTGAACAAAAACTTGCTCTTTCACGTATTTGTACGTAAAGATTTTCAGATACTCAATACTCTTAAGATACTTAATACCTGTTACTTTAACCTAATTACCTTAACTTATTATAACTAGACATTGTTTTAATAATTTTGTGGCTAACGGCCATAAAATGCGTTTTACGCTGAATAATCCGAATAATTTTAAAATTAAAATTTTTTTTTTCTTCACAATAAACGATGTGGCTGGGCGGTGAAGTAACGCTCACGTGGTTCTTCAATCAGTTCTCGATGTACATAAAAAAAAAAATAATAACAGTTTTATTGTTTTAATGATAAATATTTTACGGGAGTACTGATTTCTTTTTTTTAGAACAATTATTGCTCAACTTATTGTAAAAATAATTGCTCAAGAAAAGCAGTTGTATAGATTATAATTTAATTTTTAAGAACAATCCTATTCCCTATTTGATAATAAATGCGTGATAATCAATTTTATTTTACTTTTAATGAATATATTATTTAAATACAAAGTTTATTAAATCGTTTACCCGTAAAAACTAAAGGAAATAACAAAACTGCACACGTACAAATTTAACTAGTTGAACGGGTGATATTAAAATGATGAAATGTTCTTCAGAGACGAAAAAGGGTCGGTCGCCGGTGGATGACTATAAAATGACTACGGTAAATTTCGACTATAAAACACGGCCGACTCGACTATAAACTGACCCGCCTCTAATTCGGAGTAACTGTTGGCGGGTTTACCTAATGCCTGTAGTATTATCTCGTAAACTTTTTGTCTGGGGCCGTCGAGGCGGTCTAAAAGCTGCGATTTCCGCGTTCCGCACCCCGGTCGGGGGTCCGAAAATCGTTCCCGCGGGAGACACGGCGTGTCGTTAACGCCCAGAAACCCCGAAAATAATTACCCGTCTGCGTCACGGCCGGACTTTTGCACATCCCTCGGAGCGTGAAAATCTTTCGGCGTTTCCACGTACCAACCAACCCCAAAATTATTATAATGAACACCCTAAAAATAGGCACAATTCGGTTGGACAGGCTAGAAGAGGCTAAGCCCTTTCTGGCCAGTGACAAGCCCCCTTTGAGCAACGAGAGCCCAAATACGTTTAATTTAATGTGTAATGCAATATTGAGCTGTCTTCAATTGAAAATAATTGACAATTGATTATTAATCAATGATAAGATAAAAATATTTCCAAAAAATGTTTTCATTGTATAGTCATACTTTCATTTTTATCTATTTGGTCAGTCGTGTGACAGTGTGGCACTAAAACCTATAACAATTAACAAGGAATAACAACTACAGTGTTTTAAACACCGCTCACTATCAGTATTATTCTACTAATTTGTTTTAATTTATTTATTTGATGTGATAATAGCATGAATTATTATATCTCGGTAATTAAGCTTATAAAACTCAAACATAGCCGATTGAATAAGTAGATCAGGAAAAACAAAGAAGAAGCCCGCCCCTGTTGAATTAACGGAGCCATCCGTGAAAACAATGGTACACAACAAATGGTCACCCTGAATGTATCGTTTAAAGATATTGTTAACTATTCTTGGAGTAATAGAGTGTAACTTCAATGGAGTATGGCTATTTGCTAAGGAAGTTGAGAGCTGCAATCGCTGATGGGGTTAAATGAGGGCAATCCCTAATATTCAATTATTTTCCAAACACAAAACCATTAGATGTCAATAGTCAAAAACTTGTAGATCAATAATTAAGCGAAATTATTGTTAAATGGTAAATATAATAATTTTAATAACAACACGACGTTTGCATACACTAAAATGGCATTATGTATAATATCAAGATAATTACACCTATTTTTTTTACAAATAATATGAATAAATAAAAAATAACGTTTAATAACGATTGTTGTGAATTGAGTAAATATAATATATAATTCCCATCATTAATAAATTAACGAAATTAAAAATATAATTGTAGATCTTATTATTAAATTAAATTTCGTAATAAAAAATAAAAAATATGTTGTTTTTTTTTTTAGATACTATTATCCATTTGACATTGCAGTGGGTTCATAGTTTAAAAATCTATTAAAAATGTTAAATGATAGTTATAAACTATCAACAAGGAAAACCACGTGCAATAGAACGATACCTCTTCGTTATCGTAAGGAATTATATGAGAAAGTGTTCTAATGACCAAATGTTTTGCGGTGCGTCTGACAACAGACGGATGGACTAAAATAAAAAAAAAATGGGAGTTACATGAGAATTGCTGCTCACTTCATTGATTAAAATGCTTCATTCCAATCTGTGTGTCGAACACAGATTGAAGAAAGGCTTACCATCGACAATTTATCTTTATTTTTAAAAATATTGTTTGGGAGTAGAATATAGGGAACAAAGTCGTTGCAGTTGTAAGTGATAATGCATTCAGTATTGTCGGTATGTAAATATTTGTAGTCCTCGGCCCGGTGAGTAACATAATAGAAAAAAAAAAATAAAAAAAAAAACCCCGGAATTTGATTATCTCTATTATCACCGGAGATGTACATTATATCGGGGTGTATCTTCGTGGGACACCCGGCCGCACGTCACTGGGATAGAACGCCGCGGATAGATTGCCGCGCGGGAATATCCATCAAATGTCACTACCCTCCCCCCCCACGGCCAATACAACCGGGCGCGGAGTGACGATAATTTCCGGTTAGGCGGTTGAAGGGGGGTGGGGGGGTGGGAGGGAAACCGTGATCGCCGGAATATTTTACGCCGGCCGTCCGCGGGTCAGAAAAGATTCGGCGGTGCGTGACGGACGACCGTCCGCGCGATTGCCGACGCCGCGAAACAAATCGTAATCTTTTTTTCTTTTTTTTTCGGACGCCCGCGCGCACGGGTTACCTGACCGGGCCCGGCGGGCGTACGACCACGACGACGGCGATTCACGCGCGTATAGGTACGCGGTCCGGGCGACGCGATAATACGACCCGGGAACGCGCGAAACCGGAACCGCCGTGCCGGAAAAAAAAAAAAAAAATGGGATTTAATTATTTCGCGCGCGGCCACACCGCGTGTCCGGGTCGGATTTTCCAGACGGACAGT